TAGAGTGTGAGCTGCAAAGTATAAAAATATATAGTGTAAAGTGTGGAGTATAAAGTGTAAAGTGTAGAGTGTGGAGGGTAGTGTGTGGAGTGTAACGTGTAGAGTGTAAAGTGTGGAGTGTAGAGTGTGGAGTTTGGAGTGTAGAGAGTAATGTGTAAAGTGTAGAGTGCACAGTGTAGAGTAAAAAGTAGAGTATGGAGTGTGGAGAGTAAAGTGAAAGTGTGCAGTGCAAAGTGTGGAGTGTGGAATATAAAGTCTAGTGTGTGGAGTGTGGAGTGTAAGGTGTAAAGTGTGGAGTGTAAAGTGAAAAGTGAAGAGTGTAAAGTGTAGAATATAAAGTTTAACATATGGAGTGTAAAGTGTAGAGTGTACAGTGTAGAGTGTAAAGTGTGGAGTGCAAGGTGTGGAGTGTGGAGGGTAAAGGATTGTGTGGAGAGTAAAGTGAAAGTGTGCAGTGCAAAGTGTGGAGTGTGGAATATAAAGTCTAGTGTGTGGAGTGTGGAGTGTAAGATGTAAAGTGTGGAGTGTAAAGTGAAAAGTGAAGAGTGTAAAGTGTAGAATATAAAGTTTAACATATGGAGTGTAAAGTGTAGAGTGTACAGTGTAGAGTGTAAAGTGTGGAGTGCAAGGTGTGGAGTGTGGAGGGTAAAGGATTGTGTGGAGCGTGGAGTGAGTGTACAGTGTAAGTGTGCAGTGTCAAGTATAGAGTGTGGAGTGAAGTGTAGAGTGTCCGAAATATCGCGTCTGCCACGCAAAATAGCATTCCACACACGACGGTTCTTCACAAAATGCTGCGCCTGCCATGCAAAATGACGATGGAGGTCTCCAAAGTGCTGCGCCTGCAATGAAAAATGCAACTCATCTTTACGCGAGAATGTCAAGAAGTGCCAGGCTTGCCACGCAAAACGACATTACAACCAGCTTTGATACCTTCAAAAAGGAGAGGTTTTGCAGCTTCCCCCCATAGACGCGGCGATGCCACAAGAAAACCAGAGAATCGAGACAAGACATGTTGGAGCCTCAAAACGAGCATTTCGTGCGAGACTTCCTCAACTTTTCACACTTCGTAGCTTCAAAATTGACATTTCCCACGAGTTTTCTCATGAACCTCAAAATTTGCTACCTCAAAATCGATGTTTCGTGCGAAGTTTCCGTCAATTTCATCACATCTCACGAAACGCCACGCCTGCCACGGAATTTGCACGTTGTCACCACTTGACGCAGCCCTGACAATGTGATTCGCAAAAACCCGCAACATGACACATCTACAGTGCTCCACTTGCCATGCAAAATGACGATGGAAGTCGGCAAAGTCCTGCGCCTGCCACACCGACGCAAAAGTATTGCGCCTGCCACACAAAACGACCTTCGGCGCGTTATGAAACATGTTGGAATTTCACAAAGTGCCATGCCTGCCACGCGAAACGAGGCTACGCGACGGTCGAAACCTCTAAAAGAACCCTGTGGCAGTTTACCGGGTCCGGTTGGGGCCTGTGATTTTCTACTAGAAAATGAATGTTGTATAAATTAGGGACCCAAGAAAATCTAGCTACAGACATCAAACCAATTTGAGGTACTCTAGAAAAATGGCAACCCCCAAGAAGTGCATTTTCGAAGCTATGGATCGTATTTTTTCTTAGAAAAACATCACCCTATGATCTACCAGACTCGCAGCGACGCGCAGGTACTCAAAGTTCCAGCCCAAGCGCTTCGGATTGGCTGTTTTCCAATTGCGAGATGCGGCAAGTGTTGCAAACTTGGACAGGAGAGAGATGGGACTAGATTTTAAGCATGTTTAAACAAAACAAAATGACCTACCAGTGCCCCTCTAGAAAATCAGGGACCACTACAAAATTTAGGAACGTCCTCCCAGAGATGCTAAAATTATGCTCCTGGATTTTGGGCACTTAAGCTACCCAGAAAATCAAGGTCTCCCGACTCAGAGGTCTCCAAAAGTTGTTCTGTAGAAAATGAGGGGGTTGATAAAAGCAGCCTTTCATCAAAATCGAAGAATTTTTGCGCCAGAAAATCAGTCCTTCTCAGGGGGGTTGACCCCCCTGAAATCCTAGAGGAAACTCACACCAGTATTCTAAAAGTGACCCCTTTTGCAGAACTCACCATAGGCACGGCCATACGGGCCTCACGCGACCGCCCGGGGACATTTGCGAACGGTTGCGAACGGGTGCGGACGTAAACGCATCGTCTAGCGAACACACCCTCAACCCCCAGACCCCCAGAGTGAAACGGGAACCCTTGCTACGCATTCGGGCAAACAAGGGGCCAGGTGAAACACTGCAAACGAACAGACATGAAAATGTGGCAAAAACAAGGTTTTTAGAAACCAGACCATCCAAAATCCATCGATCTTTAAAGAACATTTTGACCTGCCAGCACGAAATGAACTTTCACCTTTGAATTAAGCTCCAATAAATCCCCCGGACCCCGGATGGATGTTTTTGCAGGAGAAAAGCTAAGATCGCGTAAGCTCCGCAGATCTAGTTTGAAAGATTGTTCCAAAAAAGCTCCAAAATGCCTTTTCCAAGTTTCAATGTATTTTCCAAAGAATTATTTTCTCTCATCTTCCTGGTCTTTGTCTTGTCAACCTCCCATTTTGGAAGTAATCCAGTGATTGTATCAAATGCAACTTCAGCTTCTTCTTCGACGAGACGTTCATTCACCTACCTGGCAATGAGGCAAGTACTTTCTCTCTTTGCACCAAACAAACCACAACTGAAAGGTGCAAACATGAGACTGAAACCATGCTTCAACTGCATCTGATCAATCGGACGCAATCATGCATCTATGCTTTTTTCTTCGCCTTGTAAGCAAAGGCAAGCTGCAAGTGACACAAGCTGAAATGATGCAGTAAATATGACTCAAACTGGAGCAAAATAGCAGAAAAGTGCATCCCCTTGAAGGTTGTCTGCACTTGCATAGTTTGCCAGACCCTTTTTCACAACAAGCCCGTGTTTGAAGATTCACTTGAGTCATCATGTTCCGACGGTCCCGATACTTTACCAGTAGTACCGCACAAGGCGGTGGCGGAAGTTTCAAAAATAGGAAACCTATAGGAGAGGTTGGTTGTTGTGAATCACGGATGGCAGAGCGAAGCCACTGATGGACCGAAAGGTGATTGATGTTTCCTCTCTTTCTCTGACTACCTACCTACCTACCTACTCATCTACCTACCTAAGTATCTATCGATCTACCTACCTATCTATCTATCTATCTATGTATCTATCTATCTATGTATCTATCTATCTATCAATCTATCTACCTATCTATGTATCTATCTATCTATCAATCTATCTATCTATCTATCTTTCTTTCTTTCTATTTATCTATCTATTTATCTATCTATCTATCTGTCTATCTATCTATCTGTCTATCTATCTACCTACCTATCTCTCTCTCTCTCTTTTATCTGTCTAGCGGTCTAGCTGTCTAGCTGTCTATCTGTCTATCTATCTATCTATCTGTCTTTCTATCCGTCTCTCTCTTTCTCTCTCTCTCTCTCTCTTTCTCTCGCTTTCATCTGTCTATCTGTCTAGCTGTCTATCTGTCTATCTATCTATCTGTCTACCTGTCTATCTGTGGTGCAGTGTCATTCAGGGTAATGTAGTGTAGTGTAGTGGAGTGTAGTGGAATGTAGTGTAGTGTGGTGTAATGTAGTGCAGTGTAATTTAGTGTAGTGGAGTGTAGTGGAAGGTAGTGTAGTGTAGTGTAATTTAGTGTAGTGGAGTGTAGTGGAAGGTAGTGTAGTGTAGTGTAATTTTTAGTGTAGTGGAGTGTAGTGGAGTGTAGTTGTGTAGTTGTAGTTGTATTTGTAGTGTAGTGGAGTGTAGTGTAGTGAAGTGTAGTGGAAGGTAGCGTAGTGTAGTGTAGTGTAATGTAGTGTAGTGTAATGTAGTGTAGTGGAGTGTAGTGGAGTGTAGTTGTGTAGTTGTAGTTGTAGTTGTAGCTGCAGTGTAGTGGAAGGTAGTGTAGTGTAATGTAGTGAAGTGTAGTGGAAGGTAGTGTAGTGTAGTGTAGTGTAATGTAGTGTAGTGTATTGTAGTGTAGTGTAATTTAGTGTAGTGGAGTGTAGTTGTGTAGTTGTAGTGTAGTGGAGTGTAGTGTAATGCAATGTAGTGTAGTGTAGTGGAGTGTAGTGTAGTGTCATGTAGTGTAGTGTAGTGAAGCGAAGCGCAACCACATCTGAACCTCCAAAAGTGGTCCGAACCCCTAGTGTTTTGTACATTTTGACTTGGAAATGTGCTTTGCGCCACAACGGCGTGCACTTTTTTGACATCTCAACTTCCAAAAGTGGTCCGATAATGGTGTGTTTTACGCATTTTGACTTCGAAATGTGCTTCGCGCCACAACGGCGTGCACTTTTTCGACATCTCAACTGCCAAAAGTGGTCCGGACCTGGTGTGTTTTGTACATTTTGACTTGGAAACGTGCTTCGCGCCACAACGGCGTGCACTTTTTCGACATCTCAACTTCCAAAAGTGGTCCGAACCTGGTGTGTTTTGTGCATTTTGACTTGGAAATGTGCTTCGCGCCACAACGGCGTGCACTTTTTCATCTCTCATCTGGCCAGCTGGCTCCGCGCCCGCCGCTTTAGCGAGCCTACTTTTCGACCCTCCGGAGCCCCAAATCATTGGACAAACACAGTGTTTCGCGACTTTCCTACCTTTTATCGCATCTGCATCTTCTTTCTTCTTACTCTTTCTCTTCTACTCTTCTTTCTTCTAATCTTTCTCTTCTCTCTGCCTCTTCCCTGCTCTGCTTTTCATCTGTCCATATTGTTGGAAGTTTGACTTCTAAACTTCCTTCGACAATTTGAGGTAGCAGCCCCAAGCATCTCCAGGATGAGCCGTGCTAAAAACCTTGATAGATTCAAAAGTCGTAAGGATGTACTTGCGAACAGCTTACACATTGCTTCCACATCTGATGTTGTCCCCGCCCTAGTGTTTCCAAACAGACCTGTGCAGCCTGTGCAGCCTGTGCAGCGACTAAAGAAACCCTTTCGCATCGCTGCACAAATAAACATCGTCTGGTTGAAGGCCTGCATGAGGCCCTCGCATCCGAGCCTCAAGCCCCAAAGTGGAAAACGCACACAGGAACAAACATTAAACATGTCGGAACTCGTCGGTTTCGGTTCAGCGTCACCAGTCCAAGTCCTGCGGCAAACTTTTTCCTGCCAAAAAAGCCCTTCGGCTTGGGTGAGACGTGGCGGACCAAGCTACGGAAAATCCCCGTTTTCCAAGCTTGCTTCTGACATCTTCTGACATCTTCTGACATCTTCTAACTCCAACTGTGCAGCTTCATCTTTTTGTGATCCGACCAGATCTTCAAAAGCAAACTTGGCCCCTACATTCACTCAAAGGCTGCATTCGAGACATGCTGTGTACAGCACGCCAACTCTGCAGCGGAGTGTCCGAGACCCCCCTGAAGTACTCACAGTCGAGACTTCTCCCCTTGGAGGTTAACCCATCTGTAGCATCTTGATCCACCTGATCACAACAAGCCACAACAGGTCACTCCGTCTCTGCACATATGAACTCACTGGCGAAATTCTGGTGCTGTGCTGCAAAAAATTTGGATGACTTTCTGCTGTAGCATCTTCCCGTCATGATCCTATGACACCTGTGCTATCAAAACAAATCCTGCCTTCTGCTTCCGACCAAATAAATCGAATGATCCTTCGGACATTTCCTGAACAGCAAAACATCAGTCAGAGTATCCCAAGATTGCATTTTCCGCGCTGACGTTCGAGAGGGACTCTTTGAAACTAGACTCTTTTTGTACAATGGTTTGCTCCAAAGCTTGACTAACAAAATTCGAAAACTTGTTTGGCCTGTGGGATATTCTCTCAGAAAATACCAATGTATCTGCCGGGAGACACATAAAGGAGGATTGCACATTCAATACCCTTCTCTTCTTTGCTGGAGGTGCAACTGGCGTTGTGGGTGCCTGAGTGCCAAGACTTGTAGACTCAGTAAAGGTGGGTTGGACAAGAGCCAATGCTGAATCACATACCACTTGCAGTGTCATCATATGTCATCATTGCAATTGCTTCCATAAGAACAACGAACAATCGCCACAACTGCGGGGTTGTGATGCACAGATCTGAGGGTCGAACCGGAGGTGGGTCCAAAGACCTTAGACCGGAATCGGCTTCAATGGCTTCCAACAGTCAGCCAACAGTGGGCCAACAGTCCAACATTGTCTATTTGGCTTAGCTCTGCAGCAATTCGTTGCAAATCTAGAGAAGGTCATTGGCTAATGTGCACAGGGCACTGATGGCACTGCTCATGTCAGTGCGGCCAGACAATCCGAGTTGGACTGCGCCACTGGACAGCATGGGGTCCGCACACACCGCTGGTTCTCTTTGGCTTCATTGGCGAGGCAGGCCTAGGTCATGCACTGTCTAGACATCTCTTGCGTTTTTATCCAAAAAAACGGAGAGCTTCCTTCCCCAAATAGGGCCCCCATTTTCCACGTCATTTATCTGTTTTGGATAGTTTATGTTGTTTCGTGTTGATAACTTAGCACAAAATAGGGCCCCTATTTGGGGATCTTCTGAAAAAACGATCGGTGCAAATAAAGACGTGCACTTGATGACTCCGGAATCTATACCATGTGATGATGATGTGACGTAAGTAAAGCAATCTAAAGCGGTTCAGCATCTTGAAAGCAAGAGGTTGGGTGAGTTTTATTCAAGGTCGGAAAGGTCCAAACAAAATCCAGGGCTCCCATTCAAAGCACACGAAACCGGCTTGTCTTGTTGAAATTACAAAAAAAACAATTCACAAGCGCCATACTTATGGAGACTTGGTTGATTGATAAGACCAGCGCACGCTGCGACTTGAAGACAAAATCTTCTCAACTCTCGAAGTGTAAGCCTGTTCGATTCGAATTTGTTTTGCCTCCCTTTCTGCATGCCAAAGTGCGTCACATCCATTTCACTATCTTTGCCATTGTACTGCTGCGCCACATGGAGGGCAGCGCAACACAACCTCACTGCTCAAATACGGCGATGTGTCTAGGGGCGTTGGCAAGGCGGTTCTGCTGCAAACATAGGCCCACAAGGCTGCCTTGTCCCTGTCTCCATGGCGGGACCGTACTATGTGTTCCTTGACTCCCAATGGTTGTGCACAGTGTCGTGTCATCTTTTAGGGCTAGAGGTAGAGAGCTTTCCGAAATGAGTTGGAATGAGTTGGCCCACGAATGGTGGATCACAGCTTGAGATAGCGACAAATCATCTTTGAACTGAGCTTTCCCTTCCCACCCTTCCCATGGCCTTGAAGGTGTGGCGGAATCGCCGAGATCTTTCTCCGGAGGGTTCCAAAAGACAAATAGCTTCCGTCGGTGCGGGTTGGCTTCCGGATCGTTGTCATAGTCCTGAACCCACCAATATGACCAGAAAGGGGCCCTCAAAATTTCAACTGAAACGTTTGACGTATAGCCAAATGTCCCTGCATATCACAATCTCGATGTCTCCACACGGACAGGAATCAGTGCATTGAAAATCACGTGATGCCTGTGACACCCTTCAAGACCAGGATCTTTCTAGCGATTTCCACGATTCTCACGAGGCTGAAGATCATGGAGCTTGCAAAATGCAGTGATTCGAAGTTGGACAAGAAATGGTGTTCTTATCGAAAGAGAAGACAAACTCGGCTTTTTCTTCTCTGATCTCCCAACGCGGCGGTTTTTGAACCAAGCTTCTTTCTTCTGATACTGCTTGTCGTGAAAGATAATTTCCATGATTGGATCGGAGGTGCCTAGAAAGGCACGGCCCACTTCTTTTTAGCCACCAACTGCTAGGAAAAGCATGTTCGTCATGTTCCATGACAGGTTCTAATTGTCGAAAATCTCAGCCTTGTGCTGCATCTGACAGCCGAGTGACCCATGCCGTAGTTCAGCTCTGCCGTGGTGCATCTGAGCTCCTCCCTGGGCACAGGTCGAAACGGCTGCAGCAGTTCAATCCGCTTCAGCTTCTCCTCTTCGGTGTTGTACCTAGGAAATCGCGAGGATTTCATTGGACCCAATCAGTAAGGTTTTTTTTTCAAGTCAATAGTGAGTCAATTGCATAACTGGGATGTACTGGGACGTACCCACTTACTCACTGGGATGTGCATCCTGATGGTTTCCTTCATGCCACAAACAGCAACAGCTGGGGTGAAAACAGAGGAATTTCAAACTCTTCCACCACCTCTCCCAATGCTCAGAAATTGGAAACTCCTCACGCCTCACACCCCCAGAAATGGCAAGGTTACTAAAAGAAATCAATCAAAATCTCAAGTCAAAGGACACTTCCAGAACCTGGTCCAGGTAAGAATCTTCTTCAGGCATCTTGAACTGACTGTTCTCCTGCTAGCAGCATACCATTGGAGCAGGGAATGATGTACTGAATCCTGGATCGTATCAAATTTGTAGAATAGTCACTAGTATTCACTAGTTGTACATGTGGCTGGCTTTGGTGAAATGGAATGATCTGGACAGCGTTGGACCTTGGAGAAAGGTCCGTTTCATACCTCATGTCAACGTGTCTAGTGTACAGTACGTGGAACCAGTAGCAAAATGATGGGCACGTAAAGAGGACGTGGAAAACAGAACAGGTGCAAACGTGAAGATAAAAATGGTTGATCCTTCTGAGTCATCAGAATAATCACCTTAGAGATGGAGGCACTTTCGTAGTTGGACGACAAGTCCACAACCGTGAACTTCCCCTAACACAATTTGTGAATAAGCATGAATAAGCAGCACTATCCAGAAGCACCAAAAATGACGCACTGAATGGCATGATCTGCAAAGTCTTGTGCAATCGGATCCTCAGCAGTGGGCAAGGTCCACATTTGTGGCATACGCATCAGCTTCCTCTCCAGGAATCTTGCCTTGACGCGATGAAAGGTAGATGAAAGGTAGATGAAAGGTAGATGAAAGGTGGATAATGTCGATGAATTTCAAATTAATTTCAGGTGAATCCAAAATTTGTTTCGCAGCGAAGTCTCACGGCGACATTGGCCCGCCAGGGGTCTGAGGTTGGCCCGCCTTGTACTCAGCGCACGCGTCCTTTAGCCGATCATCTTCTTCATCCATCAATCGGCTCTCCACAAAGATATCTGTCAGTTTCCTCAGTAGAGTTGTTTAGCGGGTCATGTACCCGAAACTGCCGGTAGCAAGGCGGGGAGTTGCCAAATCGGGGTTCTCAAAGTTAAATGCACATCTACATAATGTAAATGTGTTGTGCAAACTTTGGGGAACTCTTTCTCTGAGGGTCTATCTTGGCAAAATGATGACTTGCATGTAGGATGCCTCTTTGGTGAAATTCCTCGGACATTTCTTTTCTCAGGTAGCCCCCCTGCCACTGGAAGATGGAAAACAACAAACTTTATTGGGAGAAATCAATGTAGTCTTGCGGTACTCATGGGACGACAACACATGTACCGCCCGTACCTCCCCATATTATCCATATTGCTTTTGCACCCTGTCACACTAGATCGAAACATAGGACACGTTTGGGAAAGAATGGCCCTGAAGCACTTGAAAAACTTTGCGTTCCCGGTGGCTTCCAGTCTGGAATACTCGAAATGAAAGTTTCAGCCATATCAGGAATGAGGCTCTTGGAAATCACTGGCTGCAATCCCAGCTTCGGATAGGCAATAGGATCAATCTTGACCGCTGCCTCGCTGATGGTCATCTTGCCATCAGTGCCAGTGATCAAGGGCACTTTGTCGATCCTGAGACCGGATGCAGGTGTGAGTCATTCCATATGGCCACAGTCTCTGCAGCCAAAGATCAACTTCAGAATGTCAATCATGTGCCTGGCAACGGAATGACGGGCAAAAGTAGCGCCAAACGTGGCCAGGACATGAGAAGCTACTAAACTAAACACACGCTGCATAGTTTGGGAACTTTGGTGCACGCTGAACGGCCACAGACAACTTCTTCCTCAACTCTCAAATGTGTGCCCTGCACATCAATGCTCCGAGTCAGTTTTCCATACTCGTATCAACTACTCACTCAATCACTTGCGCGCCCTGAAGAAGGTGCAACCCTTGCATCTCTCTCTCTCTCTCTTGTGTCTTTCTTGTGAAGATTTGGATTGCTCGCCAACACAAATCATCAGCATCAAGACTCGCAAGACCGCGCAATTGACCGCCTTTTACTGGATCCTACGAGTCATGGTCTGGCTGGAACTGTCTTGCCATGTCTTGCCACGTTGCTGTTCCAACTTCTTCACTGTCTTGTGCTGATAGGCGGTGCGATGCAAGGTCTTCCTGAGCTCCATCAAGTTCCTCAGATCGCTCCCGATGTGAACCAATTTGAATCCCCAGGCGGCAGACAATGCAGACAGCAGTCTCCAGCCCAGTCTTACAGTGAATTACAGTCATAATGGCAGGAAGCAGCGACATGCTTGGACCATGACCAGCAGTCATTAAACACGTCCCCCTGAACTACCCCCGTGCTATTTAGCCCTGTCAGCTCTCAGCTGTGCCTTCAATGTTTAATCTTCCGCATCAGCCCAAGATTCTCGCGGATGTTGTCGCGATCCTTCTCTGGTGGCGAGATCGTAGGGGTGCCCTTCTCCTCATTGTCATCCAAGATCACCCGTGCAGACCTTAAGAGGAAGTGGTCAACGAAAGACAAAGTAGGAAGGAGATGGAAGGAGGTATTTCTCCAAATGCGCCGCTTTTTGGTCAAGGTGCTTTTCCTGCCGAAGAATCTCGAACGGAATCCATTTGACAGAAAAGCCGAGCCTCATTTGATCCCTGGAAGCCTTTGAGATCTTTGAGCTGTGCCAAGATGTGCCAAGATGCTTGATGTATCTCATGTGATCCCATTGTCTCTGGATTCCCAGGTGTTGGGCGTCGCGGCGGAAGTAATCGAACTTGTCCACGTCGATTCCGGTTCTCCAATTGCTGACCTTGCGGCAACTGTGGCTACCCGGCTACCCTGCCTGAACGAGTTCTCAATCCCGAATCCCGAATCCCGAATCCATCCCGAATCCATCAATGCCAAGCAATGCCAAGTTGGCCAAGTGGATCCAAGTGGCAATCTCATAGATCCAGGCCTTCTCCACTGGACGCCCCTTCATCACAGTGGACCAGGAGCTTCGCAGCTTCCCTTCCTTTCCAAGTTGTCTCAAGGTTTTCCTGGGATCGCCGGGATCGCGGTCAAAAGCGCAAAAGCGCCGACTTAAAGCACCCTGTGCGACCAGATTGGCAATAGCTATGTCAATTGCTGGTCGAAGGGTTGAAGTATGTCGAAGTATAGATGTGAACCCATTGAGGGATCATCCTCTGATCTGGGGTGACACTTTGCCAAGCAGACCCTCCAGCACTTGGGGAGAAGTAGTTGCAAAGACCTGACAGAGATGTCTACTTTTGTCTCCCACCTTGAGACCCCTGCGGAGCACTGATCTCCAAGTTGCTTCGGGGGATCGATGAGTTCTTTGATGAGGGCAAAGTCATCTCCTTCTCCATCCGCTTTGAGGCCAGCACCAACCAACCTTCAGCAGATCAGCGCCCCTTTTGATCTTCTTATGTCACCCCTGCAACTCTGGTTGGATTCCTGTTGTGGCTAAACCAGGAAAAAAAAACAAATCAGAGGTCCCATGTAGGCAGAAAGCAAAAGATTGGCTGTAATTTGGCCATTTTGGGTTGACCATGCCAATAGGAACTGGTTTTGCTTGGCAAGTTACAAGCTCAACTGTCCCAAGTCATCTAGCAACCCTCCATGACCAACCGGCTCCAAACTAGGGACCAAAATGCTCAAATCCTAATGTTCTTGGGAACAAATTCATCAAATTCCAAACCCAGCTTGGAGCCAGGAGAGCATCCACTGGTGTCAAAACAGGTGTCACAACAGGTGGCTTCTCGCGCAAGTCGTCCATCAGCTTCTGGACCAACACCAGCGATGCTTTCTCGTGATCCCAAGTCTCGAACTTCGCAATCTCTTGCCTCAGCCACCAGGGTAGGCCGACCAGAAAATAAAAACCTCCTTCAGTCTGGGAAAAAATGAACATACAAGTACAGTTGTTGCAGACTGACGAATTGTCTTCATTTGTTAAGATTCTGTTTAGTCAATGTATGTCACTGTGTGTATGTCCCCAGAGATGTTTCTTTTTTGTCCGTCAAATCTCGCCAATTTTGTTATGTTCGAAGACGGAAATTGCCCAGGTACTCCACCTCAGGTGGGATCTGCTCCCCATGCCGAGCGCTGGCTTCCTTTCCTGGACAAAATCTTGGAAAGACTCGATCTGTTTGATCTGGAAAGACTCTGTTCAGCACCGTTTCTAAGCGATCTGATGCGTTCGTTGGTCTATGTTTCAGTGAACCCTAGATGTGAACGTGGGCGCATCAAGTGGCTTAGGGGACAGGTCATGTCTCACCAAGAATCACATGATGGAACTCAGGTACTGGACCCCGTGCAGCCAAGTCTCTCTTCTCCCTTCCCAGCTGCCTCAAAAAGCCTCGAATGCAAATGCTAAAAATCACCTGGCCTGAATTCTTGGTACCCTATCCCTAGCTTGTGCAGGTCGTGCGATGGATTTGGACAATTCTTGGACGTGCCCTTCTGGAGTTCGTCCATTTCAGAGGTCAAACAAGCCTTCGTTAGTCGCAGCTAGCATGTTTTCTCATCGGGAGTTACCCTTCCAACAGAGATGGGGCTTCTAGGGGAATCCTGTGATGGGTTACAAACATATACCACTAATGCGTGTGGTCTTGACAGGAAGTACGTGCGATATCATGTTATGTTCCAATCTACCTTGATCTTGAGTCTGTGTATGTTTGACAGTTGGGCCCTACAAATGCATAGAATTGGCACCCCTGTGGATGGATTCTGAGGTTCTCACAGCAGACCAAGTATTTCATGCAGTCAAAATCCGTGAAAGTGAAACGAAGTGAAACGTTCCATTCTGCAGCATGGCCGCTCTAAGACCCAGGATCAGAACTTTTGCCAAGGTGCTTTCGAACATGTGACCTTGGCCATGAGCGGTTGGAGCAGCACATTTCCCAGTTCATTTCTGATTCAACATGTCTGGTTCCTAAGGCATCGCATCTTTGAAGCATCAGATCTCAGATTTTATCAGATTCTATCAGATGTCATCCCACTGCCCAAATTGTTTCATCCTGTTTCATCCCAGGCGCTGTAGCACGGGTGTCCCAGGTCGTGGCACAGCCCCGCCAGCACCACGCAGATCTCATCGCGATCGGTGACTTCCAGCTGCGGCTGTTCATGGCGCAGGGTCTGGATGAAGGTCATGGCCAAATAGGCGGTGCCGATGCTATGAAAAAAACGGTTGTGGGTGGCACCTGGCGAAAACTGGCAGCTGGAAAATGTCTGTGGCATACAATCATGTCAGTTGCAGTGGCTCGCTCACCTTGGCCCCAAACAGAATGACAGACCATATCATATTATAATATATTATATCAATTTATATCATATAATCATATAACAGCATGAAACATCCAATTTTCGAAGTTCATCATATCAAGCTCCTCATTCCTCTGCATCCGCCTGGATAGACTTGAGCGCAAACTCCCAGCTGCTTGATATGACGCATGCGCTGGAAGTCCGGGGTGTCGATGACCCACTTGACCTTGAAATTGTCCGAGGTCGAGCCGAGTCTGATGAGTCTGTGAATCACTACTATCTTCTGGTACATTTTGTGGGTTGTTCATGTTGATCCAAGACTCAACATGAACAAACATCCAACTCTTGATGGTCTGATTTAGCAGGCATTCCGTTCCAGTCGAAGCCTTTCCACGATTTTTTGCATTGACTTCTTTCAACTTCAGTAAATGGTTGAACTATGTTAAACTCACAGGGTATTGAGGTCGACACTGTGATTTTCAACAGCTGTCTGAATCGCCAGGGCACATACTGCGGTAGAAACATCAAGCCATGCACCGGGCAGTTCAAGGCAAAGGTCTCCTGCGACGACACGACAGCCCAGGTGTGACAGGTGCGACGTCAACCGTCGTGTGCGTCGTGTGCTCCTGCAGGTGCTGCGGTTTGGCTTTCGGCTTCAAGCGCTTTTGCACCTCTTGCTCAATCAGGGCCTCAAGATGAAGCGATAAGAAACATAGCTGATGGCCATTGATGACCGTTGATGACCTAATGATATGCTGCCGAAACCCGAAATCCAAAGATTTCATGCAACGCTACGAACCTTACAGTGCCTTATAGGCCGAATGGTGTTTCTTACCCTGATCCCACCTTGATCCCACCTTGATGGCAGGGTCTTCCAACGTCAACTTGGCCCCGTTCACATCTGGCCCATGGGGCGCATGTTCCACGACGCTCTCACCGTTGGCCATGGCGTCAAGAAAAAAACAGCGGACAATTTCACGGCACTCTACACACTTTCTACGAAAAACCTGAAGTTTGATGACTTGATGACTTGCACTATATCGTGTTTTTTCTGGGATTCTCTATGATTTTCTTTGATTGCAAAGCCCAGTTGTTTTATTCTCATCTTGAAAGGCTACCCTTACATTGCATCTTCAACGAGTATATAGTCCAAAAGCTGAAAGCCAACAACATAAAAAAATTGGCCGCAACTACTACAGTAGTAGCATCTCTGCAAAAGGATCTTCAGAACACCTGGGTATGAGTCCAAAGAGGGAAGCCTGAAATTTACGGCCAAAAATGACCAACATTCGTGATTCCCACTTGGACCCACCACCGAGGAGCCAACAATTTCTTCAATTGGCACAGTTGACTCTTTCGAGACTTCGAAATGTTTAAAACCTTGGCATGGACAGCTGTCGACGTGTCGAATTGGAGGAAGGGATGATGGGTATCTACTTCTTTGGTTCAAGGGGAGCGGATTCGACTCTCTTCTTTGAATATCTTTGAATAGTTAGCTGCTCAGTTAGCTTTAATTATTCTTTTGAGTTCAAGAACTGCAAGGTAGGACTGTGGAAGTGCAAATCAAACAGGATTTTTTTTGAGACATCTTTTGGCCAAGAGCCGAGGCCCGCGGCAGAGAAGCATGGTGTTCAATTGCTCATCTGACCTTGGAAGATCAGCTGTACATTTCCAACTGCTTGGGTCATGCTGAGCCCAATTAAATTCAATTTCCCAATCGAGCCAACTTCCACAAACCACGTTGTCATTGCGGTCCTAGGCCACCTGACATGGATTCTCCTCTCCAAGTCGTGACTTTGACGAGAATATCTTGGTGGCGCTGCAGTGGGCACGACGCAAATGAAAAACCAAATTATTGAGGTACAATGAGTTGCGTAGACTGTAGACTTGTGTAGTGTACCTTCATTTTTGTGTTGGAACAAAGTGGAAACATCATGATCATCATTGATCATCCATACCCTTGCCACAAATTACGGCCCAGGGGAAGCCTTTGCACTTCTTCACAATGCAACACCCCAAGCTACGGTGCTGGGCATCCAAGCCCAAGAGCTTTTGATTTTGGAAGTTCAGCCTGCCATATCAGAGTCAGTGACTGAATTTCAGCAGGATGAAACTGTTTTGATAGTTGGCCATGAGTTTTCATAGTTTTCATTCCATGTTTCATTGGGATTTCCAGGATTGGAAGTGACCTCCTGAGAACTTCGGCCCAGTGGGACAGCTCCTGGTGGCGTTGGCAGAATCACGGTGTTGCGTTGCCAAGGAATCTATAGGCATCCAGTCCCCAAATAGATAGAAAAGTAAAGCCCCTATTAAAACATGTTCAGCCAATTTAGAGTTTCACTTTTCTATCTCTTTGGAGATAAGGAAAAAAATATGGAACACATATGAAAAATTATGCAAACCATTGACCTTCCATTGACCTTCCATACCGTCCATACGGTGTCCGTGCAGTTTGGGGCGACCTGCAAGGAGAAAGGGCTGATGTCCACTGCCGCTTGGTTGCCGAAGTGCTGCAGCAGGGCCAAATTGAACCTCGGCTCTTGCCTGTGGCATCCTGTGGCATCCTGTGGCAATGGAAATGTAGATCCAATGTATTCACCAAAATATTGGCAAGTCAATTGAAAGCCTTCGACTTCGATCTTGGAAGATTTTGGAAGTACAGCGTTTCAGGAGCGGTGCAGCAAAGGTCCCATCCGAGGCCGTTCTTGGTTTTCTCGTTGGGTGACCCAACTTTTCAAGGCGAGCCAGGGCATAAAGGACCCCCAGCCTTGGAACGTGGAACACCCTCTTTGGAGGTGAGATGACTGAGATGACTGAGATGACTGAAACCGTGCAGACATTGATCTCAACAGTCAACATGACATCCAGATACATCCAGTATGTTCCAACTCATCTCGGTGCCGCACCCTTCGTTTGGAGTCATGCGAAAACTCTTCTCCTCAACTCTAGCGATGACTTCATCCAGCAATTCCTCCGGTTGCTCCTGCAGTTCATGGCTGAGACTTCATGACTTCTGACGAACAAGTTTGTGAAGTCGCAGCCTTGTTCCAAAAGTTGCAGATTGAAAGTCGCTCAACAGCCACCAGATTGATCAAATCTCCATAGTCATCAAATTCTGGGTTGCATCAAATATAGGTTTTTATAGTTTTTATATAAAGTTTTTATGGGTAAATCTGGATCCGGTTGATAAAGAACTGACTTGGTCACCTGGTACTCGGCCAAGGTATTCAGCACCACTACCTTGGTTTCATTGGTCCAACAACAAGCCGCTAAGCACCACCCACAAGCTTCAGTTGGTATGGGTCAAAATGTAGAACCTTGGGGAATAATGATGTATCTATGTACATATGTAACATATGTACATGCATATAATATATAATATCTATAGATGTTGGAAGATCTCCGTAATTTTTGAGGACCTGAAACCATCCCATTCTTACCCCGAAGGACATGACCCATAGCCCTTCATCGTCAATGGGAAAACCAAGATCCAACAACCACCAGGAGCACAATCCCATCATGAGTTACGTTGACTCTCCGTCAAGACTGGGCTTGAAAGTGAGTAACTAATTCTCTGCAGAAGTGATGTGGAACTGGAATTAGACTTGTTGCTGTAAACGCATTTGTCACTGCAAGTCAAAAGCATCATTGGAAACTGCAGACTTATATCATCTTATATCCATTTTACAATCCATTGTATCAGTATAATCCAGAGAAATATACAGTAATCAGAATGTGAGAGGTATCGATCCCATTTCAAAGCGTGGATCGCTTCCAGCTTCACCGCTGAGCGTCCGTGCCATGACTTCGGGGCTCATGCGATGCACCGTGTCCGTCATCGCGTCCAAAATCTCCCCTCGCAGTTCTTTGATCCCTGGGCGAAGCTGGTGAGATGACCATCGAATGCCGTTGAAGATCATTAAAGAACTGAAGAAATGGAATCATATCTTGCAATGTCTTGCTTGTTTTATTAAACCTGTTTGCATGTACACATCAACACAGGTAATAATAGCTCTCGATATCAGATGTTGTGACTGCAGTAGCACAAGCGTCTCCAATGCCTGCGAGGGGAGAGGTGAGCACCGCCCGCAGTTCCGACACTCGCATGTTCTTTGGCTTCAATGCTTGAAGCGCGGTGGTCAGAAGCACTTTTCCTGCAAGATCTGTAAGGGCCCCTACTTTTGTAAAGGAAACGTTTAAGGAATACTATAACCCCAATAAACTCCCAGTCACAACCCCAACTGACATACAATAGGGGTTGTTGTGAGAACATTCATGGGGCATCTTGGATCCTCGGTCAGTGGTCCATTGTGTAGGCAAAGTGGTGCAAATTCAATGTTGTCCAGAGAGGTCAGCATCGGACATTTGGTGGACCCCTTCACTGTGGTTGACCCTTGATTCCCCTATTGGTCGACCATGAAAAATCTCCGTTGTGTTGATCATATCACTTTTATCTTCGCAGTTTTGCTGCTTTTCAGAGTTCTATGATTTCTATGTGCAGTTTTTCTTGATTTTTGGACCAACATTTCTGGTGACTTTGGGATTTTCCGCATCTGTCGCTTCCTTCATGGAGCGACTCCAGCTGTTGCCCTAGGGATGCCAGGGAGACGATCAGCGCCGGAGGCAACTGCAGCGTCTTCAAGGCATCCACCTGCGGAAAACTCTGGAAATGGAACTGACAACAGATAAATATGTTATAAATATGATAAATGAGAGCTAAAATGAGAAGTAAAAATATACTAAAACATGATAAAAGCATGATTTTTGTGTGACTGTTTTTAATCATTCTTACTGGAGCCTGAAATCTCAGGAGCTGCACCAGGATCGCTTCCTGAGTCAACTTCTTAAGCTCCTCTGCGCTGGTCAACCTCGCATTGTGATATCAGGAATCAAAGATGGGGAGATGGGGAGATTGCCAAAGTAGAAACAAGGCATGTAAAATGGTACGTCCTGCCAATCACCAATCACATCAACTCTACCTTTTCAGCTTAGCATGAAGGATGGAAGGATGATGATTTCGGTCTGTTCCTATCAACCCAGGAAGGCCGGAAAGTGCTGAGGGCACCGACTCCAGCAATTTCTGGAAAACCCTCGTGGACTCAGCTAATCGCAAGTTGTTCCTTCAGGGAAGTAAAATGAAGAAAAACATCACAGCAGTGGACTTCTGATTGGGTTCAACGAATTACTGTAGTCACTGTAGTCTTTGGGGCCCTTCATGGATTCCATGTTGTATCAGGGGTGTATACCTCCCTTGATGTCCGCAAGGAATTGCTGCCTGCAGGTCTGCTCTATTTGTGTGTTTTATCCTGAGCACTTGGAACTTGAAAGTAGTCATTGTGGTGGCCTAGTGCACGAGCAAAAGACTCTAAGAGATGACTTCCATATCTTCCATCGCTGCTCACTGAACATCGGCCACACGCTTGTGAGTACTCATGCACACTTGCCCCAAGTTTGTCGATCGCTTCCTAAGATGTCACCCTCCATCAACAGCCGTTGGGCACCTGTGGGTGGCCAGCAGTTTCAGCAGCTCCGCAGGCGTCGCGGAAGCATTCAGCTGTTCTAGGAACTGACCTCCCAGGTAGCAGCCAGCAAAAGTGACCTGCGGATGGGCCTACATTGGTTTTCTTATTGCCCAACATGGATGACCTACCAATCTTTTTGGGAAACATAACCTCAGCATCTTCCGTCAACTCATGGCCAAAGGGCCAAAGGAGTCATTTATAGAAATTCATAGAATTTGACTGGCATGATGGCTTTCAATGACATCAGGTGGAACTGGAGCGGAATTGCCAGGGATTGCGCTTCACTGTTGCATCGATGTGCGGCAGCTAAGCCCAAGGCTATCCACCATCGACTGGGCAGCAGCATCTCGCAGCGGAATTGGGGATTCCTCCTGGTACACTTTCGAGGTAAGTCCAGCAGTTTTGCTGAGCGGTGGACCCTGGAGGATTTGTATGTATCAAAATTTAAACCAACTGATTTTCAATGGAATTCCGACAATTCATAGATTGCATAATCAATCATACCTAATCATACCTCCCAAACCCGGTTCAAGGCCACGATTCATGATATACGGGCCTTGGTCGTTTCAGATCGCTATCCAGAGTGGATAAATCACAGCCAGGTGGGAACATAAGAAATAATGCAATCCACCTTGAGGTCAGCAGGGTACAATTGAGGGCAGAGTTTCTATCTGTTTCGTCACCACATCAGACAGCTGGATCGATAGACTCTGTATAATGATTCAAGAACTACTTCTTGGTGTCATGGCATCCCTTCTTTTCCTCACAGTTCATGGCTCAACTACAATCCATCCAGCAGAGGTAGCGGAAGACTTTCTGATCAACCCCTATGTGGCTTGGTTTCCAAAAACCGCATGGTGGCTGTCTTTACACCTTGGGATCCTTCAGGCTCGGATGCACAGAACAACTGGGTCCGGATCGAAACCACTTCTGTTGCCATCGGCCTGGATGCCATCGACAGCCACCTCTTGCTCGGCCTGCAACACTGTCATATTGTGAGGGAAAAATCCGCAGGAAATCATTGGGCCTGTCCCGAAAGAATGGGATTTTGCCTAAGATTTTTCCTGACATAGAGTATCAGAGCACCAAAAGAATCGATGTACTCCAGTCAATGGGTCTTGTGCTCCTGTGACTGACCAAAGCATTCAGAGCTGATTTGAAAATACTAGGGATATTTGAAAATAGCTTCAAATCTGCTTTCCCGACTTGCGTGCCACTTCCACATGTTGTCCCTTTGAAATCCTTTGAAATCCTTTGAAATCCTTTGAAATCCTTTGAAATCCTTTGAAATCCTTTGAAATCCTTTGAAATCCTTTGAATTTTTTCAATTTTTCCCGGCGATGTCTCTGGCCCTGTCCATCCGTCAGCCTTAACCGCCAAGCGAGGACACCGTGAAGGTGGCTTCCGAGATCCTGTCGTTGCAGAATAGCTTGGATTTGCGATGGGAGTACAAATAGCCCAGATAGCTGTTGCTTGAAGCTTCCACCCCAAAATAGCTGAGATTGGCCTTCTTCCAAATAGAATACCGAACGAGGTTTGAGTGTTCCTAATTTCGATCGATGACCAATACAATCACTCTACTTGTGAGATTTTCTGACAACTACTAGTAACCTCAAAAGATTACAGAAAGGTCACAGGGTCACAGTCCTACACCTGTGCCACTGAAAGCTCTGGGCGGTCGCAGCACAGTGAGAAGCAGGGCCACAGCCGCCGCCTTTGGGCCGGCGACATGTTTCATGGCGGCAGTGGATTTTCATTGCGCAGGGTTCATCCACTTCGACCTCAACCTAGCATCACTGGCATCACTCCCAATCCAATGGCCTTCCAAAGGGCGAGGCGCCCACGGGACATAGAGTCTATGTGATCTTGCTCCGGTGAAGAGTGTTGCAAAATGGGTAGCAAAAAAACATTAAACACCAGCTAGGTAGAATAAGTCTTGAACATATTAGAGCTTCTGAATAACACTCTCCAAGTCGATTTGGGTCATCTCTGAAGGAAACCGAAATGCTAAACCAATGTCTCACAGGTCCAGGAGATGTTTGTTCAGAATCCATCGTAAACAGCTTGTGATTTTGATTCTCTGGCGAGGTTCAATATGCTGCTTGATTATTGTCAGAATTTGTATCAGGATTCTTCAAATGGTGGAGACCAAGATGGATTTTTCAAGAAACGTTATTGCACAATGAGTAGCCTTGACCCATTTCATGCCTGCCATTCATTCGATCCTACCCCAAAAAGGGCGGTTTCAAGCCCTTGAATGAAGCTGCGAACAAAAGCCAAACGGAGCAAGACATTCGAACCTTTTCCTCAACACCGTAGTCAACCCTCGACTTATTGTGGGAGTGTGTGTGCATGAACCTAAGGAGACTTCTTCAATTGACTTGCCTTGACACCAAGTTCCGCCATCAGCTCTCAAAGTCTTGGGGGCAACAAACGCAAACATATTATCTTTGTGGCTGACCCAAACAGACCGGATCTAGTTCATCCTTGATTCACCATGGCCACTTCCCTAGGAGAGCACCGAGAGCACCTTTTTGGGTGCCACACTTCTGCCGCGAAACGCAGCTGTCCCAACAGAACAACAACCTCACAACCTCAACGGCGGGGGCTACGCTCGCGAGCCTTGCCACTGCCGCCACCTGCGACACCAAAACTGAAGGGATCCGAGTCCGGCGTGTCGCTTGAATCATTGTGAATTTTCTTAAGGCTTTAAGTGCATTTTCTTAATTGTTTAACTGTACTGTTTCAGATGTTTCAAGATAGTTGCTGATATTGATGAAGGTACCATCGATTCTGTCAGCCAAAGTAGCTCCTGAGCCACTCACCAATCTCACCGCAGTTCTCAATCACCACTGGGCGCTTCGTCCTTCGCAGCGACAATGATGGAATGTTTGGAATCAGAATCAAGAAGGTGTCAGTCTCAACCCCCACAACTACCATGTCCCCAATGACATTCTCATAATGGGCGGCACTATGTAGCCCCAGATCCAGCCAAGACCCAGGGCACCCACTGAGGCTGGCACTTGCCGCTACTGGAACCTTCCTTCTCGACCAAGTCGACTACATTCATCCCTTCAACCACCTGCAATGGTGAAACCCAAGGTCTACCTGAGTCTACCTTGTCCCGAAAGTTGGAGCTTGTTTGGAAAGGTAGCAACATATCCAAACTGCAAGTGATAAAACGCAGGTCTGATGCTTTTCTGTCATGCTCTTTTTGGCCTTGCCAAAGACCACATGCTTTCCGTTCAAGTGGGGTGTTGCCTTGCGGTGTCATCAACTGAACACATTGGCTTCAAACAGAACCGGACCAAATTCAAGCCATAATCCCAATGGAAAGATGACGTGGTAGAATCAGAATGGCTCTGCAAAATTTCAGGAAACGTAATGAAACATAAGGTGGCACACCATCTTTGTAGAGAATGGACAAACCGACAAACCTGCAATTATGTTGCCGCAAGTGCAACTCTGATCATTGAATCCCGAATCCCAAGGATGGACAATTTCACATTTTCGGCTCGCCACACTCAGCTGCCAGCTACAGTGCACAAGAAGAACTGAGAGCCATTCGTGTTTGGCCTTGACAAATCGCATCACACTGGCACTACTTGAGCAGTGTCACTCCTGTTTTGCTCTGCCAGTCTTGCCTCTAGTGGCTGTAAACCAGCACATGCTAGCACTTTTCCATTCTGTTTCAAAAACCCTTCAAGTTTCTATCTCTTTGGGCACCTTTTCAAAAAGCTGTTCCTGAGCCCTGTTTCAGAGCTAGACACTGATCCGGGTCCCCGGGTCCGGATCTGGGTCTTCTGAGTCTTCTGGGTCTTCTGACCCTGCATTGGCCATGGAGAGGATGCCGGGACCGGTGTGCTTGTGCTTGAAGTTCTCATCACCTCCGGAGACACAAAGAGGATGATCCAATAACCAGTGGATGGGACATTGGGCACTGGGAGATCCAAAAGAGGTTGCAAATCCCAGTTATCCCAGTTGCAAGCCGTTGGAACTTCAGTTGCCCAGGAGAACTCTGGAGGAAACCAATCCCGTGTTGGGAAATCACCATTTGTTGATGGTTCGTGGAATTCTTCAATTCTTTCTGAGCCAAAGCCATCCAAAGCCCGGATCTCGCTGAGTCCACAAAGCTATCGCGACTCCAGGTGCCCGGACGGAACTTCTCACCATAAATGGACCTCAAATTACCCTCTGGTAATTTAACGTAGCTATGGAAAATCACCATGTTTAATGGGAAAATCCACTATAAATAGCCATTTTTAATAGCTACGTTAAATTACCAGAGGGTAAACTTGAAACATCTTGAAATCAGAGATGGCCGGATCGGAGTCCCAGATCCCAGTTGCCCTATGAGATGATCGAAAGGCACTGCAGAAACCTTGGCAGATCTGCCAGGAAACTCACCGCCCGTGCCATTGCCCTTGGTAAAGTCACCACCTTGACCTCAGGTGCGTGGCCCAAGGGTGGCCAAACATGTTGAGTAAGCGTGGAGGTTTGCGGAAGCAGTTCGGCTGAGTTTGGGACACATGAAACCAGGGATCACGCGATGAAACCTGAGAGGTGGCCCTACACGATGCAAGTTGAGCCAGGTAGCTTCCACTAACTGAGAGCTGGCAAGTAGCGCGCTGCCCTTGTAGTGAAGGGGCTTCCCAGAACGTCCTTTGCCCTGTGCCGGGATGTACTCTAGAAGTCCGACCAAACTTGGTGTCTGTTACACCACATGGCCAATGAATCAAGAGAATTTTGTGTAGGTCACCATTGAATGTAACTCAGGTGACACCCCCGTCGTGCCAGGCTTGTCCCAGAACCCCAAGAATGGGATGCCTCTACATGGCCGTCCGGCCACCAAAACTTTGGATTTGCTTAGAAACCTTGTTTCCCAGGTGAACCTCCACATGTGTTTTTTGAGTATTCTTATGAAGTCCAAGGTTTTTCCAAATCTTCCAATGAATCCCCATTTTAGTGTCTTAAAGCCCCATTTCTGGATGGTTTCCGTGGTTGAATCATGTTGAATCTGTTTCACGTTGCGTCAGAACTGGCACCTTCTCCCCAGTGCAAAGGGCGCGGAAGTTCTCGGCCGTCTTGGGCACCGAATCCTGGCACCGTGGAAGCGAGAACCCCCCAATGCAGCAATCATTCTCTCGCCAGGCTTTTTGAGCAGAAGAAAGACAAGATAGAAAACCCAAATGGAAGCCTAAATCTGCATTAGGCGCACGCAAGATGTTCGAGGCAATGCAACACATGTATGATGATGATGGTGGTGGTGATGATGATGAGGAGGATGATGATGATGATGATGGTGGTGGTGGTGGTGATGATGGTGGTGGTGATGATGATGATGATGAGGAGGATGGTGATGAGGAGGAGGAGTAGGAGGAAGATAATGATGATCATTTGGAAGTTTGCAAGTTGCCGATGATGATTTTAGAGTTGATGGTTGACATACCGAGCATGACGTCCTGAACATGAAATACTGAAGAGGAGGACCCTATACCTGCAGGAAACCAATGACCCAGGGGGACCAGGGGGGATTGAACCCCGGCATGCCGGGGGGGGTGTGGTCTAACGGGAAAGTTTCAGGGTTTCCAACGGTCCTGGTGCCTGCCTATTCCTTGCTAAAGCAAGAGCAACTTCAGCTAGCACAAGCTAGCTTTCGTAATCAGTTTTATAGATTTTATGGAAAATTCCAGTGAGATCTTCATGAAATCATAAGTTACATGGGTTTCATGGAGGAATCACACTTTCATTGTGGAAACATCGAAAAAAAAACATGTTTCGAGTTGTTTTTTCCGACGAAAAACTGAACTCCACACGACGAAAATTGGATGGCGTGCCGCATAGAGTTCCATCTCAATGCGCCCGGCAGGACCTGATCACAATGGGAGATGTTTGGCATGCCATGGATCTATCCATAACAATTTGCATAGCTATTTGTACTATATTATATATATATATTATATTATATTATATACACGTAAATATATACATCAATGACTCTACCATGGGACACAATCCAAAACATCAAGCATCGGGATACAAGAATAAAAGTAGTAGGTAACCAACATGGCCGTCAAAAATCACAACCATCTCACCATTCTTGCTCTGCCAACTGGGACCCCGGCGACCGCCAATTTCAATATCAAAGAAGACTCGTGGATTGCTCATTTTTTTACAACCAAAAAAAAGAAACACACACCCAAGATATAAGCCAAAACTGCTACCTAGCACAGCGGCGGAAGGTGCATAGCTTGCCAAATCAAGTCCAACAAAAGAGTCTTCAGGTCACACACACACACACGCAAAGCACCAAACTGTATGTCCTGCAAGAAATCAGTCAGGAAATTGTTTGTGCTCTTTCATCTAGCCTTCAGAGACACAACAGTGACAAAGAACACTGTTCATATTGATGCTGTATCGCCTGGAAAAAACATCAAGTGACTGGAGTGGTGAGCAAGATGGAACCCCCTTGTTTGAAACCTGGTTTGGTTGAATTTTGTGTCACCTCTTCATGAACCTTGTCTTGCCCTGAACCGCTCCACACCATTATTTGTATCGCGGAAATCGATTCAGCCGATCAGTGAAGCATACTCACCTCAGCAGCACACCAAAGATATCTATGATGCTTTTCAGAGTTTGCAGATAGGTAACTCTCAACTTTGCACACACTACGGCATCATTTTGAATCACATTGTCACTAATTGTTCACATGTACAGGGGCGAGCAGTGCCGAAAGCTGCACTGAAGGGTTCGCTTTAGATCCACCTTTGCTGTCTTTGCCACGGTCAATGGGGATCTCAGCTGGAGACCCAACACCTCCGCATCACTCCAGGGTTCAACGGTTCAACCAGGGACGCCATGTCCATCGTCCCGATGGGTCCCTGGGATTGGGTCCCAAGCAATGGCTCTGGCCGCTGACTCGCCAGGTGTGGGCACCTTTGGCCCAGCCTGACACCGTCCAAATCGTGAAACTTGGGATTCAAGTTGATTCAAGTGTAAAAAATGAGGGATCTAAAAACTCGGATTTGGCTTTGCCCAGAAATTGGGTATACCGCCCCAAAAAGCCATATTGTTGGTTGTGGAAAAGAATGATCAGCCAGTGGATTCGAATTTACGACTTCAGAATCTGCTGCAACCCCAGTTTCGACAACGGCCACGCGTCGAAACTTGAAAAACAACGGTGAGATCCAACAAAAACTGTCCAATCCAAAGGTCTGATCAGACGCTAGATCAAGTTCTATATCATCCATATCCATAAACACATCTAGTGGTCCTCAAAATGACCTGGTCCAGCGAAGAACTCATGGAATCGGCAGAGATCTTCGCTCAAAAAAATCCTTGGACCTATCCTGCCTGGCTTCGGCTCGCATCGCCTTGGAAACGATGAAAAACGATGATGAAAAAATGGAGCAACAATACTATAATAATTGATGGTTAAAATAATGGTTATAATAATGGAACAATGATTTTTTTGCAATTTCGGATAGGGCAAGCGGGATTCAAGACCTGAGTTTGAGCCTGTCATGCTTTCACATTTTACTTCATCTACAGCCAGTGGCAGATCAAAACCACCTGCCAATTTCTCGGATTATACTGCTGTTCCACGCAAACTGCAGGAAGTCTGGGACGCTCGCTTTCAACTCGCCGACATTCTGAGTGCCTCGGAAAGCAAACGCTGAGTTACCACAATCTGCACGATTTCCATCATCGGCGCACCCTCATTTTTCCCGCCCACAAGTCCAAAAAACTTGGCTGTTTCGTCACTTGGAAATATCCAATTTTCCAGGAATGGAACATCAAGAATCATCAAACAATGATATTGAGGCTAAGCCTCCAGACCTTCCTGAAGCGGCAAAGCTCCTCCCCTGCCCAAAATGGCTGGATTTCAGATGGCCAATGGGGTACTGGGGATATGGCCATCAAATATCGATTTCAGCATCCATGGGGGAATTGACGTTGCAGCGAACAATTGCCAACCCAAAAGGGGGATCATGGCAATCATGAAGTCTTGGGAGCGGCTGCTCACATTGTCCCGATGTCAGGATCTGCTCCAAGCGACACCACTTCTTGGAGCCTGAAAGTCACCGTCAAAGGACCACTTCTCCTGGGATTTACCAGTCAACGGCCTGGCGGGAGGTTCAAAGCCCGACAGAATGGTATTATCATCACCATCATCATCACCACCATAACCACCACCACCACCATCATCATCATCATCATCGCCACCACCATGACCACCATGACCACCATGACCACCATCATCATCATCATCATCACCATCACCACCATCACCACCACCACCATCATCATCATCATCACCACCATCACCACCATCACCACCATCATCATCACCATCATCATCACCACCACCACCACCATCACCACCATCACCACCACCACCACCATCATCATCATCATCATCACCATCACCATTACCACCATCACCACCACCATCATCATCATCATCACCACCACCATCATCATCACCACCACCATCACCACCATATCATCATCATCATCATCATCAGCATCATCATCATCATCACCATCACCATCACCACCACCACCACCACCACCACCACCATCATCATCATCATCGTCATCGTCATCGTCATCGTCATCATCATCATCATCATCACCATCACCACCACCACCACCACCATCATCATCACCACCATCACCACCATCACCACCATAACCACCACCACCACCACCATCATCATCATCACCACCACCATGACCACCATCATCATCATCACCACCATCACCACCACCACCACTACCACCATCACCATCACCATCACCATCATCATCATCATCATCATCATCATCATCTCCACCATCACCACCACCACCACCACCACCACCATCATCATCATCATCATCATCTCCACCATCACCACCACCACCACCACCACCACCATCATCATCATCATCATCATTTTATTTTTTCAAAAAGACACGCAACACATATCTGCAAAACCGCTGCCAATCGCAAGATCCTGGCATGTCGAGCTCGCCTATCCAGGTAACTGCTGGTGGCCATGCTGACGGACGGGCGGTCTTGCCAACGGATACCTGGCGTCAGAAAGAAAGCCTGCGACCTTCGCAGTATCACCCAAAATGGTGCTGAATGGAACCCCTCATTCAACAACTAAGGTGTTCTCAATCACTGGAAACAGCCAGACCAAAACGCTCAAAAATCCGGTGCCAACAGGATGGGTTCACCTGGTCAGATTCAGGGATGAACAATTGCCAGGAATTCTACTCCAAAAAGTTCAGTCATTCAGTCATTCAGCAATGATTTTTCATTGACTTTCATTTGAGAAGCGCATGAAATGGATGTCAAATGATTTCAAATCAGAATCTGCCAGCCCATTTTAGGGCACACTCCAACTGCCGGCGCAGGGTCTTCAGTATGGACACGGCTGGGCCTTTGCAGGGCATTTCTCAAATGGTGGACATGTGAAGCCTATTTGATCTAGCAGAAATGACATGGGCCAATGGGCTACTATTGTTGTGACAATTGTTTATGGTTGGATCAATTCTAATACCAGTCGATGGGGAACATGGATGTAGGTCACCCATCCCGGCACCATCTCTACTTTCCCCTCGAAGTCGTCCATTTGCGGAATATCATCATGTGCCTCGACATTTTGGCTCTAGATATCACCCTGCATTCCCTCAGGAGAATTGGCCATTGGCCAACTGATTTTAAGACCCAGAAATCCGGGTGACCCTCTGGTAAACGTTTACATAACTATGGAAAATCACCATGCTATTAATGGGAAAACTCACTATTTCTATGGCCATTTTCAATAGCTTTTTGTATGTTTACCAGAGGGTTACCCCCGTTTTGCCAAATTGGTGCCACCAGTTTTCTCGCTTTTCAGTACAGAGATGGAACAACAAAAACCAGGGCACTGCATGATGGCATTGGAGTCCAACACACGGCCCTGGAGACAAGTGGCCCATGGGATGCCATGGGATGCCATGGGATTGTGATAAAACAGTTTCAACAGTTTCAAGAGTTTCAACTGGGAAATGACAGAAATGGATTCTGAAGAAACCACACTTAAATGTTGTTTAATCAATGTTTAATCAACATTGGGAGGTGCTGAAGGACGAGAAGGGGAAGAAACAACTAGACCACATGGGATGGTGAACACAATGGCTGAACATCCTGGTTTCTAGGGCCCATAGTCTTAACGCACACGCACTTTTGCACACTACACAAAACCAACTTTGGGGGTACTCACAGATTGAGCAAACCCCAAATTGGCCTCGATGGCTCCAGTGGGTACCTGACAAAACGGGTGAAAATTGCAGAGTCGGTATCTTAAACTGCTGAATCTGATGTGGTTTTACTATGTTTTACTTAGGTTTACTTTACCAAACCGACATCTCTGTTTAGGGAGGAGAAACAATTGCGGAAAACGCCGTTATTAAACCCAGCTCCTGAAAGATTCACCATGAAATGGTGAATTTTGCAGGTCGGAGTCCCCACATCTTTTCACAACCGCTCATATTTAATCCTTGAATCCTGAATCCTTCGTCTTTTTATGTCTTTTTAGTTGGTTTTGTAGGCACAGCAACATATCCCCATGTTTGGAGTTCCACACCAGATCTGGAACACCCATCTACCTTCCAAGAAACGAGCCATGATGGCAGCACCCCTTTCTGCCTCCGGCCCGTCTTTGGAAGGTTTCCGTCGGAAGCCGACCACCTGACAGCACAACGTGCACACCGTTTCCAAGATGAAGCAGAAGCTGAGACCGTCCGAGCCTTTGAACCAGGAGGTAGACCCGGAGGCAGTTGATATGCTGGATCTACCTGCCACCAAGAATTCACTTCAAAGATGTTGGGAAAAAAACCCTTCCAGCACTCCACATTGAAATGGAAAACCTCAAAACCTCTCACTTTTCCAGGATATTCCAAGACCTCTTCAGCTGGTGCAGCTGGAGCAGCTGACATGGTGCCCCTCAGCCAAACATCAAGCTCACATGTATAAACCACTTCATGAAGAGTTGAAAAACCAAGTTGGAATCGATTTAGAATTCTATAGTTGATTTATAGCTGAACGTGACCATTGGAATTGTCAGCATCCCTTGGGAATTCGTTGCAAACCCCTCACTGAGACGCCCACGGGGAGACCGAGACACCTTGTAGCTTGGTGCGGCTGTATCTATCGGTCTACCGTCCCATGGGATGAGACCCGGCCTTAAAACAAGTGGAAGGGCTAGAACGGTACAAGAAATCGAAGCAGCTCAGGATTTCCCAGAAAAATCTGGTTCCCAAAAGTTTGTCTCGGGGACACTGATGCCAGAGAAATCATGCCAACAAACAAGTTAGATTCATCCCATATCATCAAATTGCGAAAAAGAAAATCCTTCGGGCAGGAAAACAGCACCATCCGTGGCTGTGGTGACTACGCTAGAAACAAAATCAGCTGTGCCAGTCGATGATGAAAGGGTGTTTGAAGAAGAAACTGAGGTCTTTCGTCTTAATCGGAATCTCACAACAGGAGTGGCAGTACCAGCCGGGTTCTATGTAGAGACAGGTCTGCTACTAGATGCCGAAGCTGAGGACGAACTGGGTGCAGAAGCAGTGGGTTCACCACCATGCAATCTCGATAAAAAGGCCAGTGCTTCGTCAAGTCTCGAAGTTGGCAAAAACTGAATGGTTCCCAAAAACTGAGGTACCCAAAACCAAAAACATCAACAGTTTCCCAATTTTGCCATGGCTTCCCCCTTTTGGGGTCCTCACCTAGTCTCGTCGCCATCTGCTGCAGCTCCTGTGCTCTGGTAGACTGGGCGAAGGCAGCAGCGCTACCTCCGCTGGCGCGCAGCGCTTCGGGCGATCTCAGTGGCAACGGGGACTTCAGGACCTGATGTGGGGATATACTAAGGGAAAATATGGGAAAAATGGTGGGAATATGGGGGAGTTCCTTAATGAAGACATGCCTTTCGCATACTTTCACGTCTACATCTTGATGGGATTAGAAAGGGCATGATAGCCCACAAATAAATCTTTCACCGAAATGGAAGCGGTTAGCCTCTCATTGGCATGATGATGCTATTCTTGACACACATTGGTAAGTCCATGAATAACCCATACCGCCAACCTTGTGCTGACTGTTTTACACATGAAATGGTGCTGAACCGTCCAAACCCGTGGGCCACAAGCTGTTCCTTTCTGGGTCACAGGCATGCGATGGCCCATCAGCACGCGCTCCTGGGATCGAACTGGGGGAATCATCCGTCGATTCTGTCGAGTCAGGGATTCCAAATCTCCAAGTTTGGGGACATGAAAATCTCCGCAAAATGGGACTATTTTCCATCTTTATTCATGCTTGGTTTTATTAAAATCTTTATTCCAAATGACTCAAATGACGAAAAAAATCTGCAGGTCACCTTCAATGATGCCGACTATGGATGATCCTCCCCCAGAACCGTGTCCTCAACAACTGCCGCGAGCTCCGTGGTGTTTTCGATGGAGCGCTGATATTCAGCGCGGAGCCTGGAAACCGCGACCCGACGTGACACGTGGACAATCGGCTTACTGGATACCATTCATATACCATTCTAATGGGGATACCCTCTGGTATTGACTAACATAGCTATTGAAAATGGCCATTGAAATAGTGGATGTACCCGTGAAAAATGGTGATTTTCCATAGTTACGTTAGTTTACCAGACATTAACCATGGATAACCGGGATACCTGTGGTTCACTATGCCATACTATGCCATACTGGGCCTCTCCGCCATCAGCGTCCAGCGCTGGATCTCTGCATCGCGGCTGCGGAGTTCTGCTACGAGCTGGGCCTGGTATCCCTAGGGAATTGGCACACAAATTGACACCAAAGACTTAGACTGGATAAAAACCCAACTGGGGGGATTGATGGTAACATGGATTTCACGAGGCGATTTCACCGATTTCGGAAGTGGAGAGATGTCATAGGATTGGACAACACCCTGGATTTGACTTACTGGCCATTGATGGAGCTTTCTGCAACAAAAAACATAAAAAACACTACAAAACCCTTGAAGCCAGTCTGGGAGGATGGTAACCAACTTGGGTCAATCCTTTTTTTTCCCTATGAAAAGCACGAGAAAATCGGCCAAAAACTGGGAGATCATAAAATCGTCGAAGATCGTCGAAAACCCCCACCTTTTCAATGGCCCAGGGGTCGGCTGGAGCAATCTCCTGCACAAATGCCATGAGAACCTGGGGACCACCATGGGGCTTCCTGTACCCTGTCAACTTGGGAGGCATGGTCCACGTACCTACTGCCACGTGCCGGGCACAGCGAGCTAATTGGAGCCATTCCAACAGCAGTTCAGGCCTGTCGCTCCGCCCACCGGTAGCCATCCTGGCTCCAAATTGAATCCAAAGTGAGTGGTACCCTCTGGTAAACTAACAGATCGCTATTGAAAATGGCCCAGTCGAAATAGTTGATTTACTCATTTTTCACATGTTAATTTTCCGTTATGCAACAGTTTACCAGGTAATCTTCCAGCATTTTTGTGATCAATTTTCCACTGACAAAAACATCCTGTAAGTTACTCAGACTCGCCTGAAGATTCACCAAGGAAATCCAACCATGGGGATGTTCCAGCTTCCCCCTGACCTCGGAAGCTATGTGGAGGATGGCTGAAACCGGAATTTTTGTGACCCCGGAAAGGACAAAAATCTCCATTTTTAGGTCAAAGTCCAATGAAAAATCAATTAAATTCAATTAATCGAAGGAAGTTTAGAAGTCAAACTTCCGACAATATGGAGAGATGAAAAGCAGAGCAGGGAAGAGGCATAGAGAAGAGAAAGATTAGAAGAAAGAAGATTAGAAGAGAAAGAGTAAGAAGACAGAAGATACAGATGCGCGAAAAGGTAGGAAAGTCGCGAAACACTGTGTTTTTCCAATGATTTGTGGCTCCGGAGGGTCGACAAGTAGGCTCGCTAAAGCGGCGGGTGCGGAGCCAGCTGGCCAGAGGAGAGATGAAAAATTGCACGCCGTTGTGGCGCGAAGCACATTTCCAAGTCAAAATGTACAAAACAACCTAGGTCGGACCACTTTTTTGGAAGTTGAGATGTCGAAAAAGTGCACGCCGTTGTGGCGCGAAGCACATTTCCAAGTCAAAATGTACAAAACACCAGGGGTTCGGACCACTTTTGGAAGTTGCAATGTTGAAAAAGTGCACGCCGTTGTGGCGCGAAGCACATTTCCAAGTCAAAATGTACAAAGCACCTCAGCTCCGGACCACTTTTGGAAGTTGAGATGTCGAAAAAGTGCACGCCGTTGTGGCGCGAAGCGCATTTCCAAGTCAAAAGTGTAAAAAACTGAGGGTTTTGAGCCTTTTTTGACGTTAAGATGTCGAAAAAGTAGACACTGATTAACTTAACTAACTTGACTAACTTAACTACACAGATAAATACAACTGCGCTCCATTACACCATCTTACACTACACTTCACTACATTACACTGCACTACCCTCCACTAAAATACAACTACACCTGCAACTCCACAACTACACTCCACTACACTACACTGCACTCAATGACACTCAATTACACTACATTGCAGACAGACAGATAGATAGATAGATAGATAGATAGACAGGTAGACAGCTAGACAGATAGACCGATGAAAGAGAGAGAGAGAGAGATAGATAGATAGATAGATAGATAGACAGGTAGACAGCTAGACAGATAGACAGATGAAAGAGAGAGAGAGATAGATAGATAGATAGATAGATAGGTAGATAGGTAGATAGGTAGATAGGTAGATAGGTAGATAGGTGGATAGGTGGATAGGTGGATAGGTGGATAGGTGGATAGGTGGATAGGTGGATAGGTGGATAGGTAGATAGGTAGATAGGTAGATAGGTAGATAGGTAATGAGATGAAAGAGGGAAAGAGAGAGATAGACAGCTAGATCAACAGATAGATAGATACATAGAAAATAGATGGGTAGGTAGGTAGATAGCCAAAGAAAGAGAGAGAAAGAGAGGAGACCTCAAGCACCTTTCGGTCCGTCAGTGGCTTCGCTCTGCCATCCCTGATTCACAACAACCAACCTCTCCTATAGGTTTCCTATTTTTGAAACTTCCGCCACCGCCTTGTGCGGTACTACTGGTATATTCTGTCTCCAACAATAATCCTGTTTTGACGCCAGCTTTGGTGCGAAAGAAACGCAACTTCTTTCAGTGCGGAACCCCCCAAAGGGTTTGCCAAGATCTCAGACTCACGGGGATTTCCATGCACTTGGGGTCGACATCCGCGTCTTGGCTTCCCTGCACGGTTCTCTTCCAGCAATGGCAGCACCTGTCATCCAAGTGGGGGCTGTTTAGAGGACTCAGCAGCCTTGAACTCCGCACATGTTTCGACACGGGATCCGGTCACATCTGCACTTCATCGACATGAGGACCGAACAAAAACGGTGGCGACAGAGACGAATTATTTGAGGCCAAGAGTTTCAAGGTGTTTGCGCACCAGTGGACTTACAGCATGTGGACATGAAAGGCACTCATAACTCATAACACTTCTTATGGTGACAAATCCAGCCAAGTTGTTGAATACATAGCGCCAGTAAGACCTTTAACATCCAGCAAGGTATCATTTTGGGCAGTAAACATCCCAATTTCTTGGGAACATCTTCCTTTATGTCAGCCGCCTCGAGCACGTGTACGATTTCCCCAGCGGCAAGTTGTCCCACCTCAGCACAGCATTTTGGTTTCGGCAAAAAAAAACACCATGGGATATACCCAGAAATGAGATACATAGAACATCGTAGAAGAGTCACTGGGTATATCCCATGATATACCAATGTAATGACCCATGATATACATATTGGTATATCGTAATGAGATACATAACCACCAATTACTGACCAGCAATATCTGAAGAGTCACTGATATCAATTCGCGAGGATGCCACTTGGGATATCTTGGGATAATTTGATACCAAGAACCAATCCCCAGATAATGGAGACGTTACCCGGTCAGCAAACCTGGCTAACATCTGAGACCTGCACGACTGGAGAATCCAAGGCCCTGGAAAAAACTCTGGCAGAATCACTCATTGAGATGTCAATGTTCATTGTATCTGTAAGAGATCTTGAATTCTACCAGATTGAATCTCTAATGACCTCAGATTGTATCTGTAATGAAATCAAGACTTCTACCATAAAGTTCTTTCCTCCGCACGCCAGCGTGTTGACAGAAAACAAAATGGAATTGTTCATTTGCCTCGAGCACCCGCGGATTTTGTGGAATTCTGATGTCAAGAATGTGGTAATCATATGTCATCTCCATCAGGCAATCTGCCATTCTCATCATTCTCATGTCATTCAACAAACAATCTCCATCTAAGCCGGTGCAACTTTCGATGCTTCAAGGGTGAATATTGCCGCTATTGGAGGTCAAGAGCTATCCCTGTGGCTCTGGGGATGGTCTGGTGATCAACTCAGTTCATGGCGCTTCGGCACGGACCGCTGCATTATTGTGCGTAATCAAATAGTGTCCCGGCAGATCTTCCTGGCAAACCATGGGGATGACACATTCGGAACTTTTTTGTGTGGATGAAGCACATTTCCAACTAGCCCAATCCAAAGAATATGTCACACGACTGTTCTTAAAAATGGCCCAAGTCTGGAAATGGTCTTCTGGGGATTTGAATCCTCCGGTTTTGCACAGCCTTTCCACATTCCTTGCCTCGACGATGGTTTCCGCCATCGCATCACCGCAGGACCAAGCCGTGGAGTTTGGGACTGGAGACGAGCTGAGAATTCAGCATTAAAGTTGGTCAAAATGTCGTGTTGACACCAAGTGGCAGCTGTTTTTAGGCTAGGTTGCGAGTTTTTCCATGCTACATGGCATGACATTACAGAAAATCCTGAGCCAGAAGAATCGAGGCCGAGGCCAGCCTGGCCAGGCACAGGAGGCGGCATCAAGCGACTCCATGGTATGGGGCACCAGCAATCCAGGCAATCCAGGGGTATATCAAACCAATGTACTGGAAATAAGCAACGTCAAACATGATATAAGAAAGACTACCACGCCGCTGTGAACATTTGAACATTTACCTTCGAAAACTGCAGGATCTAGCACTGTGGTATGCCATTGCTTTGACCTGATTTTCTATGGGCACCACTACAACATTCGCTTTTTATGTGGGGACAGCGATTTGATTCAGTTTTGGTTTACTGCACTTAACTCTCTTGACCATATATACAGCCGCAAACACGTGCTGTTTAGCTGGATACACAGTCCCCAATCAAGATTGTAAAGAAAAACAACCCGTAAACCCTACCCTTAATATTCTTACCCAGATGTTGGGAAATTTGGTTGAAACAAGGTAGAAGCAACTGTTCCAAGAAGCACGAGCCCAAATAAGCCGTGACTGGGGGGCTTCGGCCACAGCTCAGTTGCACTTCCACGGGTTTTTCCTGGTGTTTCAGGTGCGCGTACATCTTGCACATGGTGAATACTGGACATCTTGCCTCACCCAGCAGACCCAAGTGATCCTGCAAATTCCACAAAAGGATGAAAACGTCAGATTTGGGCCAATAATGGGGCGACCATCCTTGGGATTACCGGATTTAGCCAACCACAGGAGCCAACAACAGGTCTCATCACTTTGTCATCACAAAGGTATGGTTGACACATCTGCCTCGATGCAACCATTGAGTCAAGTCGGTGCCCAACAATGGGATAGCTGGATCCCAACAAAAATCCGGAGCAAAAGAGACGTATTTTTACATGTTTTCCCCGATGATTGGATGGTTTACCATTCAAGACGACCACAAAAAATTGCCGCATCTCAAATCTTGGATCACTATCCACAATTTCACAACATCAAGTAACAAAAATAATAACCTAAAAACTCTGGTGTCTGCCACAATGCCAGGGTGTCCCACTCGCTCAACCCCATCATGGAGTCGTAGCTGTTCGCTGCAGCCAGCTCACCGAACAGCACAGCTGCATGCCCGTGCAGTGCGACAGGGTCATATCAGAACAGCTGGGAAATTTCGGTGACCTTCCCATTCTGTATACATACGTGTATATATATAACATTGCATATATATATAATTATATAATGTACATGATTTGTAGAACAGATACAGATACAGATACAGATACAGGTACAGAATGGTACAGATAGATATGGATATGTGTATTCTTAAAAACCGAGGCTTCCATTCTCTTCCAGATGTTCACCTGCCCCTTGTTCAGCCCGTCGACTGCATCATGCCACCAACTTGTGGCTGGGCCGGGTGTAGGAAAACAACGTTTGTTTAGTCGATCTGACTCCGGCGAATCCGATGAATCCATGAATACCCTCTGGTTATGACTAACATAGCTATTGAAAATTACAATTTTTGATGGGAAAACTCACGAACTAAATCACCATTTTCAATAGCTATGTTAAATTACCAGAGGATAGGGATTTCACAATCTCTACAAATCTCCAAAAACAGCATTCTCCAGTGTCATCCCTCTAAAATCCACCTGAAGCTGGATCCGAAAGCACAAGGCTTGATGGACTGGGGTCCCAAAAAGTACGAAAGCAAAGCAACCGAACCCAGTATGGCCGGGTCTTAGCAAAAGGGTCATCAAAAGGGTCATCAAAAGGTCATCAAAAGTATCAAATAGAAAGTAGGAAAAAGGTCCCCAGTCCACAATGAAGCAATCAAGCTCCACTCAGATGGGTTTGTCTCAAAAACTCTTGAAAAAACCCTTCTTTGATGGTTGAGAACATCATTTTCCAATTTGTTCATTTTCATGTACAGTATTGGGGTCTCATCAGCAATTTTTGGACAAACCCAAATTGACATATTGGAAAGGGCCAGCACGAGTTCTCAAACACCAATGGTATATTCAAGATGATAGCCTTTCTATCATGAAGGAAATGACGAGTTCCGCATGTTCCATGGGTTTTGGTCGGGATGAAACAACGACAACTTCCTACCAGGTACCAAGTCATCTGCTTTGGTTCGGGGCTGCAGCTGCTGCACAGCCTTAGAAACTCCATCTCGTGCGGACCACGGCCAGGAACCAACATCCCTGACTCACGGACAATGAGGGTCAGGATGTTGACCTGCCAAGTTGCCCTGTGCCACTGTGCCAATAACACCTGCAGCTTAATCTCCTTTTGAAATCCTTTGAACAGGTAATCATTGAGATCCCAACTCAATCCCGATGATACTCGGCTCCCACTATTTAGTAGCAACAGGCCCTTTAAATCGTTGGTCAATTCTACTGCAGATTGCTTTATAATGTAACCCTTGTTGCCTGCAATTGCCACCATACAAATTATGCTGAGCGAACCAACGTGTTTTGTTGGTCAAACACTGTCTTTGCGGTTACTCTTTCCCTCCTCATAGCAAATGACCTCAAGCAATTGTTAAGACAACCACCTATCTTTATGTGACAGTCGAGGGCTGAAGTCAGAGCAATTTTCTTGAATGTGGATAAATCGCTTGCGGAAAAGTCGCCACGACCGGGTCACAACAGGGTCACAGCAATCCATCAAAACACAAGGGGATTTCCTTCATTTGAAGGATGCAAAGTACCAGCATAACAAACACTAGAGAGCCCACCCCTCGCACTGCAGACGACTCTTCTGCCAGCACTACTTTGCATTACAAACAATCATTCTGCAATACTAAACCTCACTAAACCTGGCAGAATGGTTTGATTTGAGAAGGAAAGAAAAATCATTAGGAGTAAGGCAGAGTGAACCAAAGGAAAGAAATGGAAAGAGAAGAAGTGACAGTCTGTGAGAAAACAAGAGAAGAAGAAAAAGAAGGAACAAACAAAGAACACAAATGAAACAAGTGCTGGAATTAACCATCCAAAAGAGGTATGTAGGAGGAATGACCAAAGGAACGTTTCTCCCATGTAAGCTAAATATGCTAAACAACCTCAGCAAATAATATATGTGTTCATCCAAGAACCCAGCGGAAATTCATGGATTTGATCCACAAAAACCTCGGTATGGACTCAAAAGCAAAGAATCGCTGCTACTTTGAAGCAATTGTGAAGACAAGCACCTATTTTTATGTGAGTGTGTCCACACGATCGGTAGTATTGAACCCAATCATACGGGAAATCCAGTCACGAGCCTTCATTTATAATGAGTTTATAGAATCCATCACATGATCGAGTCTACATTGGACAATCAAGTGATTAAGACATGTGGCGTAAATCAACATAAATCAGGTGATCCCACCATAAGGGATTTATAATTGGGCTAATGTGGTAAACCCTATACATCATCTCCAATTCCACAATAGAGGTTTATGAAATTGGGACAAATTGGGTATATCGCTAGAAATGGGATGCTTTGTAACAGCCCCCCAATCATGGTTGGCTAATGGGATGGCCTAAAATGGCATTGAGTTTATCACAAAAAATCTGGTTTTCTAAACCAAAAAACATGTGAAAATCCATGGGTTTTCTGGGTTTTGTATGCTTTCAGTGGATATTTCGCAATGGTGGGTGTAGCACTTACCCTCTGGTAATTTAACATAGCTATGGAAAATCACCATTTTTAATGGGAAATTCCACTATAAATGGCCATTTTCCATTGCTATGTTAGTTCACCAGAGGGTAGCACTTAAAATATCCCGAAAAATGGGAACCCCCGTTTCCACCTCAATGAGTGCCGCCCGTTCCATCGCCGCGCGAGCGCCGTGTCCAGGCCCTGCATCAGCGAGCGAAGCTGGTGAATTCGCACACTTTTGATACAGAGAATTTCCACACCCATGACGGATCCATGGTGCTGGTATATATGCTAACATAAAGGGGGTATATTGATGGGATCCATGTTACCATATATAGCATACATGGATCCTATGGGACACTTTTGAGTGTAGAATTTCTGGCGAATTTCTGCATGGCAAGAAGCTTTTGAAAAAGCTACAAACTCTTGCCCTTGGTAACCAAGATCAATATAGGCTAACATCCTGGTGTACGATTCGGGATCGTCAGAATGCAACAGCACCGATATGCGAATTTAACACAAGGTTTGGACCCGGCTTTCATTTCTCCTCACATGCTGAGGGATTCGCAGGGGCCCCAAACAATATGCAGCATATCCAATTTTGGACCACATTGTCCAGTATGTGGCTGGTCTGGCTATAGTTTGTGGCCCAATAATTACAGTTGTTGGACTCTTCGAACCTCAGGTTTACTCTTCTGTCTGGGGACAACCCTTCCCCCTCGGACCAGTTGGCAATGCTGCAGTGGCCGCTGAACTTGCTCGCCTCACGCGAGCAAGGTTTCTCAGGGGTTCTCCAGCTGCACGGAAATCCCTTGGGGGTTGGTTGGATTTTGTGGGTTAAAACCACATGTTTCACAGGTTTTCAGGGTTCAAAGCCGAGAGCTGTTGAAATCCAGGCTGAGTTCTCCAACTTCCGAGACACTTCTCGCCAGGAGCCGATGAGCCTAGTTTGAAAGGCTGGTTTTGGGGTGGTCTCTGAGATTTACTAACCAAAGGCGGGTGGTTCAGCCAATTTTTTTGGGGACTCATCGGAAAAAATACACAAAAACAAGATGTGGGGGTGTAAAACCAACAAACATATTGGGAATTGAGATGTCCTGAGGATGTTGCAAGCTTGGAGCTGAAACTGGCGACTGGTGATCTTCGCAGTTTCTAATGTACACTGTTGCACTCACTCAATGTAAGTGATCTTCGAAATGGAGTGTTAAAACATTCATTTTCCCAAAACGATTCCAACTACACTTTCAAACGCTTGTAGAGGGACACAATCTGTCGTATTCCAGAATATCAGAGATTTCAACACCACTGCTGTAGTTGGAGGCAGATTATCCTAGAAAACCACAAGCCTTTCTTCACAATCTATACATATGTATATGGATGGAAACATGGGCAACTACATTTCATTTACATCAGTCATATCTAAATCTACATATCTATCGATACACATGTGCATATTTATATCTATGTCTATACATACATACATAACATAACATAACATAACATAACATAACATAACATAACAAACATAACATAACATAACATAACATTACATACCATACCATACCATACCTACATACATACATACATTACATTACGTTACGTTACGTTACGTTACATTACATTGCATTACATTACATTGCATTACATTGCATTACATTGCATTGCATTGCATTGCATTGCATAACATAACATAACATAACATAACATACATACACATGTATATATATATATATGTGATATGTATCGATGTCGCCAAGCAACATATCCATGGCCCACAAGGCCACCACTCACCAGACCAGCAGTGCCTGGAAATCGGCTTGAAAACTCGTGGATCAATAAAGGACTCTTGTTATCTTAATAGGTTTTAGTTCATGGCTTGATATATCAATTTGAATAATCAAATTGATGTGAAATGGGATCTTACATGTGGATTAATAGATTTTGAAGAAACTTTTGAAGCGTTTGGATTGCCATTTCCGAAAAAAAGAAACCAAGGATGATGGGGCGAGCCCCATCCATTGAATCCACCAAGCAACCAAGTTGATTTGGGTGAACTGGGGTAACTGGCTATTCTGCAAATCAACAAAGTCTGGAGATGACTTCTCTTACCCTCTGGTCATCTGTCACAGTTCGCAAAGTGGAAAGATCCACCATCAATAGGCAAATCAAGCCATGGCTTCCATTGCAAACTGTTAGTCACTACCAGAGGGTAAAATTCTGGTTTGTCAGGTGGTGCGGTCCACAGCACCTCCTGCTGCCGCGCCGGTGATGAGGCCGCAGGTGCCGCCGACAGCAGCGCCCAAGGGAATGGAGATCCCTTGGTGACGTCAGCGATTGATGTGCAGGTACCCATTCGTTTGATTGGCATTTAATGAGGAAAAACCATCTTTAAACGGCGATTTTTTTCATTGCCCTGATTACCAGAGAGTAGCCCATTTCTTTTTCTTGCCAAATATCACTGTTTTTTTTGTGCCACAATGATGGACAGGTAGAGCTTAGAGGTGCAGAGGCTGATCTTGCGCATCCCAGGAAATGAAGGTTTTGGAACTGGGTAAAGAATGCAGCAAAACGCTGCACAACATTCTAGCAGAATTCTGAAACTTCATTCATTTGGAGTATCACATATAAATCTTATCTGATGCTATCCATCAATTTCTTGTCTAGTATATCTACCTTTATATGTACATGTATGTTTTTGATATGGATAGATATGGTATATTTCGTATCCAAAAAGCATGTGGTAAACCATCCAAAACCCCCAGGTCGCCAGGCCAAATGTCAGCATGGCGGGTAGCAAGCCGCAGGCAGCACCGAAGGAGCCGCCGGCGATCAAGCCCAAGGCCTGATGTGATATTTCATATGAATGACTATAATGTGGTTAGGTACCTTGCTTGATATGTTTTTTCATGTGACCATAATATGTTCCAGGTAGCTTATCTGTATTTTACAAGGTCAGCCACCAATTAGGTATACAACACTAATGGGGTGAACCTACAACCGGTAAGCGGTCAGCACTGTTTTGAACCAACGCTATCGGGTAGATCGATGATATATACAATACATGGTTTTACCGCAGGAGTTTTTACACCCCCCTCGGGCGAGCAGGGACGACTGCGGAGAACGAATAACCCAGAAAAGCATACCCTCGCGGGTAGCCAAATTTCTTTAGTTGGTTTTAGACATTTTGTGCAGTCTTTCAAAGGTCCCTCTAAAAAGCTCAAGCCCGTAAAACCCAGCGCAGCGTTGCAAGGAAGGCACAATACCATGCCACATCTTGCGCTATGCTACAAAAGAAAATCATCGTCTCCCTAACGGTTCCAAAAGATCCAACGGCCGCCGGCCTCGTCACGGTAATACCAAGCCCCACGCCAGAAACTCCATTCTCGGCGTGCACCATAGTGATCACGATTCCAACTCCAAGAGGCATCCGGGCGACCGGAGCTTGCAGCCTTCGAAGTGACTCCTGCGGTTGCTGCTTTTGCAGTGGGCGGTGTCTCAGGCTCCAAGAATGGTCGTGCTCCTGCTTTGGATGTTGGTGGTTCAGGTACCAGAAATGGTGCGACTGGGGCATCAGCGTGCGAGGCATCTGCGCGAGCAGAGCTTGAGGCGGCTGTGACATCTGGTGCGGTTGCGGATGCATCAGCTTCGGCTTTGCGCTTTCGCTCAGCGGTGGGCGCGACCGTGGGGTCGGCCTTATGACCTCCAGGACCTCCAGCCTTTGCAGCGGCGCTCTGCTTCTCTTTGCGTTCAAGATTGCTCCGAACCAAGGGAAGGTTTTCCTCATACACCTTTTCGAGGAAATCACGAGTGCCATCAAAAGGGACTTGGACAGTACCCTTCCAGGTCAACAGGCCACGGAATGCGCCACGACGGCCGATGTAGCTGACATATTCATCCTCTGTAAAAATGTGGCGGCCAAACATGAAACCCCAGACCTTCTTCCATGTTTTGCGGAACTCAACTGGGAAGCCATCAACGCCACGAGGCTGAGACATGAAAATCAACTTAGATAAGCAGTTCTCATTTTGGGCATTGGCGGCGACGCCAGCCGAGATCTGAGCTCTGGTCCTTGGGGGATCGGGGAGGTTGCCGTATGCGAACATATCGTCAAATATGCAGTCCTGCAGGTCCTTCCCCTCACCGTGGATGCGGTCGCAAAAAGTGACGTCGCTGGAGTATCTGTCTTCCACGTCCTCGTAGCCCAGCGCTTTTGCACGTCGATGCCTGTCGCGGCAGTCTTTGAGGACTGCTGATTCCACGGATGTGATTCCCCTGGGGCCCAGTTCTCGGCGTAGCAGGTTGGCTTGCTCTTCCGTCAAGGCTGTCAGCAAGCTTCCGCTCATCTTCCCAAACATTCCGAACCCGGCGAGACTTTGCATTCGCCGTTCAAGGATACGGGTCCTCCTGTTGGGTTTGTTGGCATCTTTTGTATCGCCACTTTCGTCCACTGGGAGTGGCTCAAACCCACATGTGGTGCATGTCACTTGGCCACTGACGTACTCAACCTGGCAGAGGGGACAGGAGCCCATGAAAGGTTCGCAGTACTTAGGTGCAATGTAAACACGGCGCGTCCTTGCGGGCGGCTGGTCAACTTGCATTGAGGCAGTGGCTGCATCATCATCAGTGGACTTGGCATCGGGTCGCCCCGTGCTGGTGTCATCCATTGGGTCGTCATTTGCATCATCTCGGGCAGTCAAGGTGACCGCTTTGGCTTTCGGTGCTGAGGCTGATGCCGCGCCAGTCCATGTGCTGGGCTCGAGATTGCTCTCGGCGCGGGACCAAAGCACCTGTCCTTCTTCTGAGATGCTGACCAGAAACTGCGGTGGGATGCGTTCTGAACACAAAATCCCATCCATTTCTGTGCGACTAAAGATGACACCAGCTTCAACTGCTTGCCGCATTGCGATTTTGACTTCGATTGGACATTTCGCTCTTAATCCAGATCGATACCCCTGCGTGCCAATACAGTGTTCTGCCATGTAGATATGAGCACGGCCACTGTTGACTGTTGCACCGCCGCCTGGAATCAGGCCGTTCTGTGCGATGCTCTTCCAGCTGCTTTTCATCGTGCGATGGAAGACAACCTCAGGAACCTCAGTCATGGCACACAGGGGCACGCCAGTGAAGGCGGCTTTTCGCTCGGGGGATACATGGTCTGAGCAATACACCATGGTTGAATTGGCATAAAGACCCCCTGCGGTTTTCAAGGCAGCTTCGGAGTGACCCTGAATTGCACGGATTTTCACAGGATAATACGGCATGCCTAGGCCATTGTCGACAGGAAAATGGGAGATCTTTGCACACAAGAATTGGAACCTACTCTTGCCATGCTTGTCGATCTTCATTGCGGTGCCAAACAGGTTTGCGACAGTGATGAAAACATCTGGGGGCACTTCCTTGCGGAAGGCTTTGGCAAAATCCTCCAAGTCAATCCAAAGGTCTTTGTCCATTGGCACCTTGGCACAGGATCCATGCCCCCTGCAAACTTTGTTGACACGAGTTGCAAAATCAGAAAACTTCTTGTCGACGCGAGTCTGGCTGGCAATGGTCTCAACGTCGGATGCCGATATCAGCTCCAGCTCATAAGCCGTACCTTCAAAGAGGATGCCGGGCACATCGTCCCCGTCTGCATTGGTCACCATTGTATATTGGTATTCAGGCAAATGCTCTTCCATCCAATATGCTTTCACGTGGCCAGTTGCTTGTCCCTCTAAGCGCGCAGTTGCCTGCGGCTGGTACTGGCTGGATGTGGCTCCCTTGTCATCTGCGGGCTCATCCGATGGTGCTGGTGCTGCTTTCGGCCGCGATTTCAACATGACCTCAGCTGTCTGGACCAGGATTGTTGCTCTGCTGGATGCAGCGGGCTCGCCGTCGCCGGCGGCCTTTGGAGGGTCATCTTTGGGAGGCTCAGCAAACGTGCCCGAAGGCATCGTCTTGATGTCGATGTAGTCCTCAGTGTCTGGTTGTTGAGCTTCGACGTCCTCCTTGGTGAATGACCTGCCCGTCGGCACAATGTGTCTTCGGGACTCTCCAAAAAGCAACTTGGTGATGTTTGCACATGTCTCCTGATAGGATCTTGGCAGCTCGTCCAGGACGGCGCTCATGTTCCTCCGCAAATCATCCCACGTCTCCTGGGCACACTCAGAAAGCTCCAAACCAATTTGGCCGACCCGCTATCCGGAATCAAGTGCGAAAAGGGTAGCTGTCCAATAGGCAGCAAGGCGCGTGCGATTTTCTTCAGAGTTGGCGAAATGCCACTGGTCTCTGAATTCCATTGCATCGGTGTACCCCTTTGCTTTTAGCCACGGATACCGCGGATTGGCACGCCCTTGCAGGCTGCTGGTTAGAGCTTCGAATCGGGGCTCCAAATGGTCGAAAAATTGATCGAAAATTGGATGAATGCCGTAATCTGCGCTCCAGGGCGCGGTCGTGAGACCGGCCGTCTGCAAGTCCAACTCCCGGGCCTTGTTGATGAACCATGTCAAGTGGCGCTCACAATCATCCAGGATCGTGGGCCAGTGCCCGTTGGGACCATCGTACGGCCAATTTGGATTTTGGGCAATTCCATCCTCTCCTACCAATTCATTTCCGAACCAGGACAAGTGCAGGTTGATGCGTGCATGAGGATAGCGCTCGCGGGCGTCCGCGGCCAATTCGATCCCTCTCTTGACCAACTTCTGCAAAGTTTTGCCCCAAAGCATCTCGTGGATGAACTCAGTCACGTACTTGAGTTTGCGCTGTCGGTAGTGCTCGGACAGGTCAAACTTCTTAAGTGTCTTCCTACGCCCTGTGATCAATGCACATGACGAGTCAGAGACTAAGATCCAGATTACGTCATTGACGGGCATCTCTGGCAGCATGATCTTTTCAATGTGGGACTCCTTTGGCAAAAAGCAGAAACTAAGGTATTCTGCAAGCGGATCCTCTCGACCATAGAACCTCAGGGCCGAAGCCGGCGTCCATTCGGTCATCAATCCATCCACAAGGTCCTGAGCAGCCTGATTCTCACCTTCATTGCGCATGGCCAATGCATACAAAATGCGATTGTGAAGGAGCAACCATGCTTCTTTGTTAGCCTCACGTGTGGCTTCGAGCGCAGCCTCGCGGCTGGCCGGGTGTGCTGTGGCATATCGTGAGTCAGCCATTTTTGCAGGACAGGCACGAATGACAACGGGTGAAATCCTTTTGGATGTTTGGCCCACCACAGCTACCCGGAAACACTCATGGAGCATGTCAGTCAACTTGAAGGTATAGTTCTCAGCAAGTTTAAGAGCTTTGCCCCTACTTTGATCATGCTCATGTTTGCCATCACATTTGAATGAGTCTAACACGGTGAGTTCTTTGAAGTTTCCTGCAATAGTCCAACTTTTCTTCATTGGTTGACCGTTGTTTCCAAGAACACCCAACATACAACCATCAAAGTGATGAGTAGTCATGGAACGTTCTTTGAGGAATCTTCTAACCATCGGCCATCTCCAATATTTGCAATTCTTGGACAGTTCAAATGCTATCAAGGTTCGTTCATCATAGACTTCATCCACAAGTTTGACAAAAGATTTGAACAACTTGGTAAACTGTTTTTGTTGCTCTTTGATTCTTTCTTGACCCTCAACAGTAAGGCCATTCACGTTCCCCCATGGGCTACCTCCTACACAAGGCAACGATGCATAGAGTATCAAAGTGCCGTCATTGAAATCATTTCTGAAATCTTGGACTTGGGAGGCTAGCCGTTGCCGACAGCTGTTAGTGGTACCATCTTCTTTTTCGGTAACCCTAATGCAGTGGCAATCTTCATTGGACTTTCTTGGGGTACTAAGCTTCGAATCATCAGAGCAGCAAAAT